TGACAAACTTAGATGTTTCTAACAGACCTCCATCCAATCAACACTTTTCCCAATAATACTACAGTACCCGATGTAGATTTTCGTGTTTTTGTGTCTGTAGCAAAACTTGCATCAGCATATGCAGTTAAACTCAGTTCATCTTTAGGCTCCAAATTCAATGAATAATGCATTGTTTGTTTCAGATATCTTAACACACGTTTAGCAGCTTGCCAGTGCCTTTCAGTTGGCTCAGTGTTAAATCTCACTAATTGATTTACACTGTCTGCAATATCTGGCCTTGACCAATTACTGAGATAAGATAAACTACCAATCAAGGACTGACAAATGTTCTTATCAAAAATAGGACTTTAAACATCACTGTGACTAAACTCCTGGCTCATCGGTGTTTTAGCCGGTTTACAAAGTTCCATTTTAAAACTTTTTAGTAATTGGTTAATTTTATCTGCCTGTGAGATCTTGTACCCTCCCCTAGTTCTATCTATCTTTAAACCAAGATATTGTTTGATTTCTCCTGTTTTATCTTAAATTTCTTCTCTAACAGTGAAATTATTTTAGTAGCTTCTTGTTCAGTTTTGGTGATTAATGCTATGTCATCAGTAAACAATAGCAACAGTGAACTTACACCATTATTTTCCCTTTTAAACAAACATGGATCAGCCATGCCAACTACAAAACCTCAGTTAATTCTTTAACTATACATTGGTTCCGCTCATATCCTGATTGCTTCAAGCCATACTCTTTTTCAATCTCCAGCAATCAGTTGTATTATCATTTTTAATACCTAAAGGTTTCTTTAAATAAATAGTGTGTTGCAACGGTGCATGCAGATATGCCGTCTCTACATCCAAATGATTTATAATGTATTTCTCCTTAGCTGCCCACACTAATGCTGCCCTTAATGTAGTAGCCTTCAGACTAGGTGCAAACACCTCATTGTAGTCGTGTGCTGTCTGACTGAACCCTTGTGCTACTAACCTGGCTTTATGGGTAACAGTCCCATCCATACCTGTCTTTAGCTTATCCATTTACATCCTATGGCATGTTTACCAGATGGTAACTTAACATTTTCATATACCTCCAACTTTTTTAATGATTCCAGTTCCTTATCCATTGCTTTCTGCCAAGCAGCCTGATCCTTAGCAGGATACAGTTTTAGTTCACTGTAGTTACTTGGAACTGTACTCACGTGACATACAACACTAGCCTGATATCTATCAGGTGGTCGTGTTACTCTGGTTGAATGTCTTGGTAATACAGGGCTTACTGGTGGACTCTTCTGTTCCACCTGCTCCTGTTCTTCTACCTCCTCCTGTGCATGTTCTACTACTTCCTCCTGTGCTTCCTCTTGAATGGCTATTCGTGGTTTACTGATTTTATCTTTTATTGGGTGTCAATAATAATATCATTGCTGGATTCCTGTTCCAGTTTATCCCACCCAACGTGCTCAAGAAATTTTCCACTAGCACTACAATAAACATGAGTTGTGCCTTGATCCCCAAATCTAAATGACCTATGGTTGGCCTAGTAACCTACAAAAAATAAATTCTTAGCTCTATGTTGTTCTTTCAGTCTTACTTGTGAGGGAATATGCACCCATGCTAGAACTCCAAATGTGTGTAGGTAACTTAAATTTGGTTTTCTACCATGCCAACAAATGAATGGTAATTCTCCAGTTGTTGTGTTAACTACATTGTTCAAAACATGGTTGCTGCACATTATGGCTTCACCCCACAGAGTTTCAGGTAAACCTGAGTCAGATAACATAGTGCGAGCCATGGCTTGTAATGTTTGCCTCGTTCTACAAACGAGTTATGTTGTGTTCTGTAAGGTGCAGAACGTTTATGCTCGACACCAGCCAATTTCAACATAGTTTGGAATCTTTTGTTAACAAATTCAGTCCTGTTATCAGTAACTAAAGTAATTACTTTACTTCTCATTTTTCTCTCAGCAAACCTTAGCCAGTTACAGAAATTTTGGAATGTTTCTGTTTTGTTTTTTATGAGATAGCAGAAACTGTATCGTAATGATCCATAATACTCAAAATATAGCAGGCACCTCCTAAACTAGGTTTCTTAGGACCAATTATATCAGCAAAAACAACCTCTAAAGGTTCTTTGGTCTTAGACCCATTAAGTCTGTTTTCTGGAGTAACCTTACTTTTCTCTTGGCTACAAGCATTCCAGTGTAAATACTTGCTACAGGGTTTCAATTTTACTCCCTCTGACAATTCAACAGTTTGTTTGAGCATTTTGAAATTAATGTGCCCTAGACATCTATGCAGTATATGTATACATACATCAGGTGGTTTAACATTGTTATAAACCGAGTTAACCATCTGCATCTGGTCATCATGTATCACATATAAATCATTATCTGGATTAGCAATAATAGTTTTACCCTCTTTCTCCATTATACAGTTATAAACCGAAAGGTTACTACATAACCAAGATTAACTAAAGCCCTTACTGATAACAAATTAAATTTTAGTTTAGGTATATATAACATACTTAAATGTTTGTTTATACAAGAACAATATGCAGTACCTTCACCAGAAGCCTTCATCTTCCATCCATTTGCCAATGATACATGTTGTTTACTCATAGAAATCTTTACAAACCTCTTTCTATCTTTAGTAATGCATTGCGATGCTCCACTATCAATCAACAAATCATGGTTTACAGTTGAATTGCTAGACATAGCTAAACTAACATTCTTCTTGGCCTTCTGGTGATTACCAGTAATCTGTTGTTTTCCCTTCTTACAGAATCTAGCTATATGTCCCCTAGCCCCACAAGAAAAACATTTTCTAACAGTATAGGCAGTTGAAGACAAATCCTCTTCTTGTGGTTGTTCCTTCCTCAGTTGGTCCCTATCCAGCCGTCTTCTTGCTTCTTCTAACAACCTTCTGGTTATGTTAGTCAATGTCAGTTTATCTCTGGGCAGGACTTCCAGTGAAGATACATAATCATCATAACTTTCATCCAATGAGGAAAGAATGATGTAAACTTGATGCAGCTCTGAAAATATCAGTTCCTTTTCATGAAGTTCAAATGAGCTAACATATCTCCACCTTTCAGAAGACGTGCTCTAAACAGTTTATGTATAAGATGTATGTGTGCACCTACACTGTCACGAACATAAATCCTCTTCAAATTCTCCCAACACTTAGCAGCAGACTCTTCTCCATGAATATGGACTAGCTGCTGCTCACTCAGTGTTAGTCCAATTATACAAAAAGTTCATTCGTTGTTCTGTTTAAAGTCAGCAAGCTTCTTGGCATCGTCCTCATTTTCTGGATCCCAAGCATTTACATCCGGTGGGTCTTGAACTACATTCCATAACCCTTCTCTATGCAGAAGTAGATTGCACTTCATAGACCTGGAAACATAGTTTGTTCCATCCGACCGGGTTATCAGTGATAGACTTGTTGAAGTGTCTTGTGCCATCTTTACCAGGATAGTAACCCACAATTAAACAGTAAACAGCTGTCTGTATACAGTACTGTGTTTTCACACCAACTCTCAGTTATCTGAACATGGTATGGCCTCGGCCCATAACCAATGTTGAGGTAATTCCCCGTTAGGAGAATGAGCGCATACAGGGAGACGTAGTGAGAGTAGTGTTGAATAACACACACACAGCATACAGATACACTGTACAGTAAATGTAGGTTTTTACTTCTAATAAACGTTTAAGCACAGTCCAAGATAAGCAGTCCAAGTCATTCACAGGTAAAGCAATCAGTGTTCAGTTCAGGGATAATCCAAATATTAAAGTCCAGTATGAAAACAGTTCAGTAACAGACTTACATCAACGATCAGTAACAGTCATTTGGAGGAACAGCAAAACTCTCCAACAGAAAGGAACAGAAATTCACTGAGACTAAAACAACCCAGGTTTCTGGCTCCATCTTATGGCCGTTTGAGAAACCACACCCAATTACAGTTTAGCATTCTCTTAAGATATAGTATTAAATTTCTATCCCAGTTTATATATTTCCAATCCAAATAACTGTTAGGTGACTTACATTCCTAACAGTAGCCAAGAAACCCAGGAGCCCCTCCCCTCTGCCCCCTCCCTGCCCACCCAGTGCCTGCTCTGCTCAATAGTCAGAGATGGGGGGGCAGAACCAGTCCTTGGATTCCCAGAGCGCACCTGGGGGGTGCTTGTCTAGGCTGGAAGCTAAGCAGGGTTGGAGCTGGGATGGGGTCCCCAGGAGAGGATTTCCAAGGCTGGAGAGAGAAGTTTAAAAGAGTGGGACAGGAGAAGACAAGAGCTTCTTTAGCGACCCTCCTGCGATCCAAGTGGTTGCAGTGGGAAATCGGGGGAGGGGGGAAATAGGGCTATCTGAGAGAACGAAGAAGAGTGGCTGGCTGAGGAAGCAGAAATGCAGTGAGAATCTTGGGGTCGTCTCACCCGAAGCGACTGGTGACTCTGCCTTTGTGGAACTTCCATCGGCTGATAGAAACGGCTGGTGACTGCCTTTGGGGACCTTCCATCGGCCGATAGAAACAGCCTCATGGCGAGGTGAGGGAGTGTGGGGTGCTCCTGTGAGGAGCGCCCCATGGGCAGCCATGCCTCGCCCCAAAGCGACTGATGACTGCCTTTGGGGAACTTCCACTGGCCGATACAAATGGCTGGTGACGCTGCCTTTGGGGAGCTTCTATCGGCTGATGTTCTATCGGTAGTCGATCAGGGTATTCTAGCCTAGGCTACCTGCAGGGCGCTCCTAAAGGCAAGTTTTCTCCCCCCGCCCTTCCCCCGCATTTCTCTTCACTTCGTGTAATTCTAATGAATGATGTGAGAAATGGTGGGGAAATGCATGGTTTAAATAGGCCTAAATTTGGGGGGCAGGGCTTAATTTCACCTCATGCCTAGAAATCATGCTGGGCCTTCCTATTGGTTGGGGCTGTATTGTTGGAGAAATACGGTAGGTATGAAAATATTTATTCATAATCAAGAATGTATCCAAACAAACAATCATGAATCATTCTACTTACTGAAGCCTGGGTGGTGGCTGTCTGCTGAGGGGAGCTTGTGTTTGGAGAGCTTGCCTGTCTGCTGGCTGCAATTGTGGCCTACAAGAAATGTTTTTCAAAAAATTAGAATTAAGATACCATATATTAAGTACTCCCTGATAAAAAGACAAAAAGTGAGAAATTAAACTTGTCATTAGTATATATTCTTTCTGTAAGGGTAAACTATGATAGAGACCTCAATTGTTTTAACAGACTATTTCTTGATTTGACCCTTACATTATTCTCAATTACTCTGAGCAATTTTTGAGGTTTTTTAAGTCATGGAAATGGCAAAAATTTATACGGTGAGCAATCAGTAAGAATCAAAAGCTCTCTTCATTATTCTCCAAAAGGCCTAAAGCTCAGCAGACAGAAATAAGGATGGATAAACTTCATATTTAATAGTACAGTATGAATGCATCCTACAACTGCCATATGAATGAATTACTTACCTCATATCATTAGATATGTGAATGGCTATAGTTTCCATCAGCTCATAACCCTTTGAAAAATGGCCCTAAGTACAGTACAGTAACCAGATGCTGTACCATTAACACGTAATAATGAAAGGTAGGTAACATTTTCTAAGTCCCTAATTATTTTTATTGACTGTTACTAGTTAGCAGTAAATCTATGGAAAGCTAAGTTGTATATACATTATTTAAAAACCCATAGTTTCTAAGACAGCAGTTCCCTAATCAGAATATTTTCCTTTTTTTCATCTCAGCCTCAATTTGTTTGCCCTCAGCAATGGTCATTGTCAAGAACCAATTGCCACCTAACTCCAAGCCCAAGAAATTCAAGCTACTTATCTATTAAGCTATAGGAGAGGCAGGATATGGTTTTAATTACAATGGGTTATAAGACAAGCTGCACTCTCATGTGGACAGTGGATAATATGGCTCTAACTCAAAAGAAGCTTCAGACACTCAACACATTTAAGAATCTTTATTGTCTACTAAAATGAAGCCACTTGCCAGCTGAATGTCCTCTGTCAACTTAAGAATTCAGCCACTACAATTTATAACTTGTACCTCTTTTCTTCAACTTTTTTCACAGCTTACTGGCCATCTTGTTTTTTGTTCCTCAAATTTGGTATGCAGTAGCAAGTGGCTGTTGACCAAATTGGGAAATTCTTATTCTTCCAATGTAATACTGTTGAAAATTATCTCCAAACGTTGATTCAGAAGTTCCATAGCATTTGTGAGATTAATGTAGAGCGAGAACTGAGTAGTATCTGCATATTAATATTCTCAAAATCAATTATCCAAATTCAAGCAGATGCTGAAATGCATGATGAAAAAGTTGGAGCTTTTGGTGGCACTCAGAAGTTCTAGTCCTGAGATTTGTCTCTTTCCAAACAGAATTTTTTAGTTAGCAAGTCCTGACTTCTCACCTGCTGGACTGCAGCCAGACTGTGAAGTTGAGCACTGTTGAGCTGTTGTTGAAGCATAAATTGATGAAAGTATTGGGCTGCATTGGGTTGTCGCTGTAGTGCTTGAAGGGCCTGCAATAAAGAAGAAATCTAAAGTAAGAACATGGAACAACTATAATCTACAATAGTGGTTCTTTTAAATTTTAAACTGGAAGTAATTCTCAAGAGGGTACTTTGGACATATCCTAGGGATAACAAACTATTTATATTGGCTTGTTTTGTATAAATAAATACTTATCTAAGCATAAGATGCTTGTGAGGTTTTTTTTATGGATAATGACATTATTTGAATCAAGGAAAAGAAGTAGTCAGGTCAATCAGTTTAAGAATCATTGGTCTACAAACTAAATGAAAGCAAATTAAATCCCAGTCCCCTAAAAACAAATAGGGATCACCACATCAAACTGGGAAATCAGAGGTTATTAAGATAATAATTTATTAACATAATAGATATTTTCAAAGACACTATGTGAGGAATGCTTTACTTCTGGTATGGGAAAAAATTAAATTACAAAACTATATGAAAATACCAGTCTGGCTCTCCACAATGGAAGCATTGATACATCCAAACCTTATTAATTCGGAAAAATCTATTTTATCAAGATATGAGAAAGATGCAAAAATGTGGGATTTTTTACAAAGAACCAGCAGCACTTGGTAAGATATTATTAGGGACAGATGAAAAACTGATCAAAAATATATATAACTATTTATTAAGTTATAAAATGGAAGAGGAACAAGTCAAAGAAACAATGATTGTATGGGCAAAAAAATTTGGTTACACTATAGAATTATATAAATGGCAAAAACTTTGGGATAGGAACTATAAACTGACAATGGCTACTGCATATAAGGAAAATCTCTATAAAATGTTTTATAGGTGGCACTTGCCACTGGCAACATTGGCAAAAATGTTTAGCAATATGTCTGCCAAATGTTGGAAGTGTAATCAGACCCCAGGTACCTAATATCATATGTGGTGGACTTGTATGAAAGCAAGAAAATGTTGGACAAAAATACATACATGGTTGGAAAAGATGATCAAGCAACATATGGATCTGAAACCAAAAATATTTTTGTTGGTATAATGCCGGAGGGCTATGATAAAGGGACTATATATTTAGTCTTGCAATTGACAGCAGCAAGGATTATATTTGCACAATATTGGAAAAATGAGAACACTCCATCAGATGAGGATGTAATTTGGAAAATATTAGACTGTGCAGAGATGGATAGATTGACATTAAAAATAAAGGATAAAGAAGACACAGAATATTACTTAATATGGAATAGATTTTACAAGTGGTTAGAGATAAAAGGTGGAAATTAGATGAAGAAAGATCATTGCTATTTATGAGTTAAATATAAAGATGTATCCGTGTATCTGCCATTCTTTGGTGGAAGAAGCGGGGTGGTTTGAATTTTTACACTTGGTTCATTTTCCTCTCTATGTATCTAGGCATCCTATTTCTTGCCTTGTCTTTTTGTATAGCCTTTCACCTGATTTATAACTGTTGCTTAGCACCTCAGATGCCTGGAAAATTCTCACCTCTTGGGGAATGTTGAGGGAGGGAGGGTCATGTGGATTGCAATGCTGAAAGATAGCCCTGAGAAGGGGCGTTGGTAGGTACCTGACACGCCCTTCCTCTGTGAGCTGTGAAGAGCATCTGTTGATTGGGAGATACTTCTGTCGCTTGTCTGATAAGCTGGGCTTTAATTGTGAGGGCGCTCCTCCTCCTCCACGGGACTCCTCCCTAGCATCCCCAGTTTTGGTGAAGTCGAAGTGATGAAAACCTTTCTTCTCCTTCACCCTTTTTAATACTTGGCTGGAATAGCACCCTACCAGACAAATAAGGGTAGGGATGGATGCTCTTCACAGCTCACAGAGGAAGGGCATGTCAGATAAGTACCAACGATGAGCTGTTCAGAGCACCCACTGATTGGGACATACCAAAGCTTGGTGTGTCTTATGGGAGGGCTTCCATCTGGTTTGGATTCCCCTCTTGGTCCCTATGGACCCTTTGTAACACTCTCATGCCAAAAGCAGCTTCCGCAGAGGCGAAGACAACAATCTTATAGTTTCTAATGAAAGGCAACGGAAAGGCTCATGTTGCCGCCTTGTAAACTTCCTCTATTGGCGCTTGTGGCCCAGGCTGTTGAAGTTGCAGTGCTCCTGGTTGAATGAGCAGTGATGCCCCTGAGTACAGGAAGAGCCTGTGTCTCATAGGACTTGGTAATTGTATTCTCAGCTACCAACCGATCGTTGAAGAAGAGACCTTGCAGTGTCAGTCTTGGACAAACTTTCAGGAATTTCAGTTCCTGTGGTCTGCGGAAAACCAAATTTATCTATGGATCTGGACTAAGAACCACTCTGTCTGTATGAACAATACAGAGCTCCTGTCTAACTGACAGGGCGGCTAGATTCGAGATTCAACTGGCCGATGTAATGGCAACCAAGAAAACCACCTCGTATGTTAGAAAGTGGTCTTCAGGGGCTCAAAAGGAGTTTTCGAGAGCACGGTAAGGATCTTGTTGAGGTCCCACTTGGGATATCAATGCACCACATGGAGGCTGTAAGTTTGTAGCCCCGCGCAAGAAGCTGAATATGTGTGGGTGATGAGAAATGGTCCGTAAGCCTCTTCAGGTGATGACCGATGCTATGGCCTCCCCTTTGGCCTGTTTATATGAAAATGATAATAACAAAATGTCATCTAAGTAACACTGCCGTCCAACAGGAGTTCCCTTGAGATGGGCAGCCAGAGCTGCCAGAACCTTCGTAAAGGTCCTCGGGCAGAGGATAACCTGAAGGGCAGGGAAACGTATTCAACACATTGATTATTATAACAATTCTAAGAAATTTGCTATGTGAGGGTCTAATTGGAATGTGGGGATAGACCTCCATTAAGTCAATGGAGGGTAGAAAGTCGCCCTTTCTGAAGCTCAGAAGGATGGACTGCATCTTAAGCCTCCTATAAACTAGGGAATGATTAAGTCTTTTAAAATCTAAAATTGCCCTCCATTCCCCTGAACTCTTTGAGACTAGAAAAAAATAGTGAATAAAAGCCTTACCCTTGCTGATCCAGTGCCACAGGTCGGGTTGCCTGGATCTCCAATAAATGATTAATAGCTGTCTCCATCAGGCTCCTTTTAACAGGATCCCTGGAGAGAGGGCATGTCATGAAAAGGATCTGGGGAGTAGATGGAAATTCCTTAGCCAGGCCTAATCTTCTGGAATCTAACCCAGGAATCAGTGGTATAGGAATCCCATCTGTCTGCGAAAGGCCTGAGCCTTCCACCAATAGGGGCACAGTCATGAAACCTATTTTGTGCGTCGGAAGCCTCTGTCCCTTGAAAGGTTCTTTTGGTCTGCCCTCCCCTTCAGTATCTATCTCCAAGATCAGAACTATCTGACCGTTGGTTATTCTTGTATCCAGATGCTCTCTGGAATCTGGAGAGAAATGCCCCTGGTAGAGGGTATGAAGGAACCCCTCCAAAAGGGCTGGGAAGGTCTATTTTCTGATCTACAAAAAAGAGAGGGGAGGATCTTTTTCTTGCTTCTTGTCTCTATCAGAGGTGAGTCAAGGGCAGCACCAAACAATTCATCTCCCGATTTTGGAGAGTAAGCAAGCTTCCACTGGTGTTTGATATTTGCTTGCCAATGGCTGAACCATAGCAATTGACAAGCAGTAACCTCAGATGCCATGGCTCGAGCAGATAATTTGATAGAATTGAATTTAACGTCCACAGAAAATTCTGTGGCTGCTATTAGCTTGGCGATGTCCTTGTGTGCCCTGATATTGGAATTTGGGATGATTGCCCTCAGATGCCAGAGCCATCTGAGAGACGATCTAGTGAAAAAGGATGTAGCAGTTGCCGCTCTCATGGCCCACGCATCTGATTGACATGCCCTACATAGAGACAACTTGGCCCTATTTATCTTCTGGCTTGAGAGCCTCTTCTGCTTCAGTTGGAATTGCAGAGAAGGATGAAAATGCCACCACTGTTTCATCTATTACTGTGGTATTGAGAAATTTAGAGAAATTGGAAGTCAAATTAAAAATTTTCGATCATATCCTGTAAGAGGGGAATATGCCATTGAAGAGGCCCCTTGTTTCTGGACGAGGTCCGAGAACATCTCCAGAACAGGAATGACTTCCTCTTTCATTATTGGTTGGGAGAAGATTAAATCATCTGACTCCCCTTGCGGTCAAGATTGTTGGGCCGAGGGGAATGGAATATCAAGGCGGGCAGTAGTTTTTGCCTTGAACAACAGAGATCTGAAAGGTTGAGGGCGAAACAGACCTGTAAGGTCGGTTGGTGTGGCTTAACGCCTTCAATGTCTGACATGCTCCTTTTTTAGGGGATCTGCCTCTGACAGGTCTTGGTTACTGTCGTGAGTAGATCCTTCCTCAACCTGTTCCATTTGGTCCTCTAGTTCTCCCTCATCCTGTACATCGTGTGAATGTGTATTTTGGATTATAAAACACTCCTCTGAAGGAGGTGAAGGTCCGTTCTGCATAGTGACTGAATTGAGTGAGACTCGAAGTTAGAGTGTGGAGGCTGCCTAACCATTAATGTCTGCTGTGCCCTGGCTGCAATGCCCCGTCAAATCACCATCTCCATCCATGCCTTTGTTTTGTCATGGATATCCTCTGGGAGGAGGTATCTGGCGTGGTCCCGCAGCTGTCTGGCAGGTAACGATGCTGAAGGTCTGGGTTGAACCAGTCCCTCTGAGGCCCCTGGAACTGGAACCAGCCTGGCTGGGGAAGAGGACTGAGAACTCTGTTCAACCTCCCCCATGCATTTTTAAATATGCTTATCTAACGCCTTTTGGCATCTTTTGGCATCCTTTTCTGCACCCTTAGAGGTCTCTCTAGGATGTTTGACATACTTCGTGATGGCTTGGATTGTCCGCTGAGGTTATTTCGGTTGCCCTTGTAATTTCTCACCCATGAGGTGAGATATCTATCTATATATAAAATGTGTGTGTGTGTGTGTGTGTGTGTGTGTGTGTGTGTGTGTATGTATGTATGTATGTATGTATGCAATATTTATGGACCGCTGGCTCATCC